CCCATGCATGAGATGAAAAGTGTTAGAACTATGGAATACCTTCAAAAATGTCAAGGGTAGCCCCATGCATGTGGAAGATTTCATGAAATTCAAACTCAAAATGATGATTTATGCATGTATGTATATAATCATGCTCAATTTCTCCATAATCAAGATGATCCTAGCTTATACTCCCTAAATTCATGCAAATGGTCTTAAGACTTGGTAAATTCATTCCTTACATAGATTATCTACAACAATTAAGTATGGTTTCCGTACCTAGAATTGAGTTCAAGTGCAATCCTAGTTCAAATCCTCAAGTTTTCCACAAATTCTCTACAATTCTTTTCTCCATCTCTCTCTAGAGTTGATTCTTCTTTACTTTCTCTCTAAAATCTCAGCCAAGTATAATTATTTTATTCTAATTATTTCGGTCCGAAACAAATTTTAATTAAAGTTGTCATAAGATTCTAAATATTTTAAATAATCTGTTGGGCTAGTCTATTTTGGTTTCTAAAGCTGTTTGGGCCTTCAATTTCTGATTCTAAGTAGATAAGCAAACAGATATTCCATGTATCAACAGATAATTGCAAAATTAAGCATATAATCACATAATTAAACACAAAATCATGCAATTAAGCTTATTGAAATAATTGAATATAATATTACGAAGGTTGAGGTTATCACAATTGGAGAGCTGGATATCAGATAGAGTGTTTACTCAAATTTTTATTTAAATTTGGTGAAATAAATGATACACCGTTGGAGATGCTCTAAATGGTCCGAAACTAATTCAGATCATGCAAAAAAACAGAAATAAACAATGTCAAGTATTTATTTTCGTTTAAAAGAGATGACAATATTATTTTTTTTATCTATATAATTAACAAATTATTGATGAAAGGGGGACTAAATGTTATATGAATTACAATCTTAAAAGAACCCAATGTAATTATGTCAAATTATGAAATTTACTTTATTTTTTCTAAATCTCAAGGAAGGTTGGTGTAATTTACCTAATATATAAAACGTGCTTCAAATTAGTATCTGAATACTTTTATATGATTGGGAGTAAATTGACATAATTTAGCTATTGAGAATCAAATTAAACATTTTTATAAATTAAGAACTAAAATGATACGAGACTGATATTTTCAGGATTAAAAATGTAATTTGTCCCCTTTTTCCTCTTTATCTTATATGCAGCAAGAAAAATGCTTGCTCCCACTAATTAGGTGGCAGTGGGTCCCGCTATTAATGATGTGATGTTTTGGTCTTAGAGTTGTGTTTTTTTTTTTTTTTTTATTTTTTTTAATGCATTAGTGCTATTAGTGATGATGTTTTTAGTGGGATGAATCATTGTTGGGATCGTTATTAAAGAGAGAAGTTAAACAATAATATATAATAAAATAAAAAAGGGAATAGTTAAATTTTTTTCATTTTTATACTGATGATTGAGATTTTTCTAGTCATATATTTTTAACCTTCTAATGAATATCTTGGCAAACCGAATCCTTCAGATCTAATTCCTCAATGGTTAATTTACGAAGTCCAAGATAAATATATTAACTTATTTTGATAACACAAATAGAATAACAATATTGCATCATGTATATGATTGAAATTTGTGATGGCATCGTGTTACAACGGTGTGTGCCTAGTCGTTGTCTCAAGAAATAATTTTATATATCTTGAGATTGAAAATTTTGACCATCATGTCATAGTGGTGTTTTTAATCACAGATTGTATAATTTATGGTAAGTGAATATGTTGTAATGATATCACTAGATGGCTTAGTGGAGAAGTGATTCAGGTTTGAATTCTGTAAGATTTTTCAGTGGATTTTTTTTTGAAATCCCGTACTATATTTCGATTAATCCTAAATATTTTGTGGCGTGTGGCTGAATTCTATTAGTATCTCGGCGGTAGATTCCTTCCTATGGGTTGGATTAAATCTAACATGTAGCTGGTGTCGTGAGTCCCTTCTTATGAGTTTTAGGTTCTTTTGTGATGTGTAGTTGAGTTCTATGTCTCAGTGATGGGTCCCTTCTTATGAGTTGAGTTAATAACTGAATTTTATTGGTGTTTCAGTAGTAGATCCCTTTTTATAGATTAGATTAATTCTGACTGATAATTAATTATTCGATATGTGGCTGAGTTCTATTGATGTCTCAGTAATAGATCTCTTCCTATATATTTAATTAAATCTGACCAGTAATTGATTATTCCGAAAGTAAAACCCACATATGCGGTGATAACACAACAGATCATCTTTTTTTTACGTTTCTATACATATGTATATATATATATATATGTTGTAATGATATGTACTATATTAATTTAGCATATGCCAACAAGAGTTTTGGTAATTCTTATTTTTAATAATTGTGGTTGGTGTACCAAACTTTATTAATTACAAAGTTCTGCTTCTTTGGTCCTCCCTGGACCCCATATTAGGCTGGATCGGATCTTACCGAACACAAGAAACATAATAAATAAATAAATAAATAAATAAACCAATAAAGGTCGTATACCCCTCTCTCTCTATTTTTATTTATTGATATATGACATTATAACGAAATTTAATGGACTATAATCATAATAAAAATTAAGTACAATACATAATATATAAAAAATAAAAAATTGGAAAAGAGAAACTCCAAACAAATAAAATATAAGGGTTCTGATCGATGTACTAGCCTTATTGGTTAAACTAGGAAGGTTATAATAGCTTTCTTTCTTACTTTAATAATATTGTATTTGAATTTTAAATTTATAAAAAATAAAATAAAAGAATTATTTTTTTTAAAAAAAAAATTGTTAATTTTTCTCTTTAAATTTCTCTAAGAATCTAAGAATTGGGGATTCAAACACAACTCAAGAGATTGGGAGCAAATTCATGTTGACCAAAGCATCCAAGAATTAAGAATTGGGGATTCAAACACAACACAACAGATTGGGAGCAAATTCATGTTGACCAAAGCATCTAAGAATTAAATATGAACAGTTGCATAAGTATCAAACACAACAACCAATTGGAATCTAAGATAAAAAAAAATGGAATCTAATAATAATAATAATACAACAGCCACATGGGGCCCTTGTGATTATAATATGACAAATGTAACCATTTAAGCTGTCAAGTTTAGGGCTGCTTTAATTAGATTGAGTGGTGTTACATTTCTTAATTTTATCTCTCTGAATTTCACCTTTAATAATGTGGCCTATTCTGATGTAATACATGAGGTGGGCCACGTCATTAAAAATGGAATTGAAAGGACAAAATTAAAAGATGTAACATCATTTTAATTGTAGCACTAATTGAAACTCTTTATTACTAGCATTAGTCAACTGTATATTTAACATCTAAACCAAACTTCGAGCATGTGCTTATAATCTTGTCAACATCAAATGGTTTAAGTAGTCAATAATACACAATTCAAGGGAGAAAGTTTGTTTGATTGGAATTTTTTTTTGTTTGTTTAATAATCAAGTAATACTATATAAATTGAACTATTATTCATTTTGTGAAAAAATGAAACCAATCAATTGAAGCATATCAGTTTCAAATAGAAAGTAATCCATATACCCCTTTTTTAAAAAATAAATAAAAGGGAAGATCAATTTTTTGTTTGAAAGTATTATAGTCACACCTCTTTACAGTTTCTTACAATTAAAGAGACACATTTCTTGGGATTTTTTAAATAATGCTGAAATTCCTTTTAAAATTGTTAATGAAAAAAACCTTCATATATGAATAATTTGATTAAAAACTTAACTCTTTGTAAAAAGGTAATTAGCTATTATTAAGAGGTCTACTTACCCTTCCTCTTTAATGTACCCCACACACACACACACACACACACACACATATATATATATATATTTGTAATTAGTTATAATTAATTTTGAAAAAATAAAAAAATGGTGAACATTTCTTAATGTAACCATATAGAAATTTGACTAGTAATTTGTGTTAGCCAAGTCCATTACATTGCTTGGGCTTGTGTTGCCCTCATACTTTTAGAAATGAACATTTGTGGATAACTTTTTGTAGGCCCATCCTTAAGGCTGGGCCAGTTCAGAGAAATTAGAAGAGATGAATAAAAAAAAAAAAAAAAAAAAAAAAAAAAAAAAAAAAAACAGACCGGTCCGACCCTCCCGACCCGGTCCGGGTCATCGGTTTTTCGATGCGACCACTGGGTCATCGGTTTTCACTAGTTTTGCTCCCACTCTGGGTTTAGGGGGTTGACCAGACCAGAACAAGGCCCGATTCTCGGTCTGGCCGGCCGGTCCGGTCCGGGTTTGAAAACATTGATCTCCACATTACCGATCTTTTCATTAACAATCACATCTAACCTAATCTGCCAAACAAACATGGCCTAAAGGAATACAATGACGGTAGTGTTTTCATAATTTAATATTATTTAATGAGTATTATTTAATGTGCAGTGTTTGTTTTGCTTTTATATGATGATTGACCAATATGAATGCAATGTTGAGGTTGCCTTTTTTCATTCCATGTGCTTGAAGTAGATTTTTCTGAAGATAAAGTTTGGGCAGCAGTAAGTGATTGTAATGGGAACAAAGCACCAGGATCTGATGGATTTAACCTGATGTTTTTCCAGAAATTTTGGAAGGTGCTTAAAGGTGAAGTCCTCAATTTTATGCAAGAGTTTCATGCCAGTGGCAGATTATTCCCAGGTTTGAATAGCTCATTCATTACTCTTGTCCCAAAGAATGATAAAGCTTTAACACTAAATGAATTCAGACCTATTAGTCTGATTGGTTCCATCTACAAAATTCTATCTAAAGTCCTAACAAATAGATTGGAGCTAGTTATGCCTTGGATTATAGGTGATACACAATCTGCTTTTCTGAGAGGTAGAAACATCTTGGATGGTGTTTTGATTGCAAATGAAGTTGTGGATAGTTGGGTCAAATTCAAGAAAGCTGGGCTGCTATTTAAAATAGATTTTGAGAAGGCTTTTGACTCAATCAACTAGAATTTCCTTTTTTCAATGTTGGCAAAATTTGGGTTTGGCGAAAAATGTATCTCTTGGATTCAAGAGTGTGTCTCCACTGCTAGAATTTTAATCCTTGTCAATGGATCTCCAACCAAGGAGTTTAACCCCCAAAAAGGGCTCAGGCAAGGTGACTCCTTATCACTATTCCTTTTCAATTTGGTTGTTGAGGCATTAAATATCCTTCTTCAGAGAGCTATGGAATTGAGATTGCTTAAAGGGGTATCAGTTGGGGCCAATGATGAGGTGAAATTATCACACCTCCAATTTGCAGACGATTCCCTCTTGTTCTGTGAAGTTGAGCTATTAGAGGTGCTAAATTTGAAAAGAATTCTTCGATGCTTTGAAGTGGCTTCAGGACTTAAAATTAATTACCACAAAAGTGTGGTTTGTGGGATTGGTATCTCCGGATCTGCCCTTACTGAGTTTGCTTTCCTCTTGAACTGTAAGACCCAAAATCTACCATTAAAGCATCAAGGCCTACCCTTGGGTGCAAATCCTAGAAGGAAGAAAACTTGGAAACCAATAGTTGCAAAGGTAAAACTAAGGCAAGCTGGTTGGAAAATGAGGCTACTATCTTATGTAGGTAGATTAACCTTGATGAAAGCTGTGTTATCAAGTATACCTGTGTATTACTTATCACTATTCAAGCTAACTAAGGGAATTGCAAAGGAGTTAGACAAAATTCAAGCATCATTCTTATGGGGAGGGCCAGATTTGAAGCGCAAAATTCATTTAGTAAAATGGTCAGAGGTTACCAAGAGTATAAAGCAAGGTGGTTTGGGGGTTCGAAGAATCAGAGATGCGAATGTGTGTCTACTTCTAAAAAGGTGGTGGAGATTTGCTTCTGAACTAGTGTCACTTTGGTATAAGGTTATTTGCAGTAAATATCGGTTCCTTGGTGGGAAATGGGTTCCAAACCCAAGTTTAAACACCTTATCCTCATATATCTGGAATGGCATAGTGGCAGCAGGTGAACAAAACCAGTCTCTTTCACTATTCTATGCTAGCAACCTCCAGTTAAAGGTGGGAAATGGCTATCACATAAGTTTCTGGGTTGATCCTTGGTGTGGGAATCTCTGTCTAAAAGATGAGTTCCCTCGCCTCTTCAGTTTATCTTTACAAAACGATGGTCTACTAAAGAATTTTGTGGAAGTATTTGGTGCAACTAAGAATTGGTTAGTCACATGTAGGAGGCCTCTCTTTGTTTGGGAAAAGAATGAATTGCTAAGGCTCTATGGCATTGTAGGTTCAGCCCCCTCTCTGCAATTGGAGACTCAGGATAGTGCAGTTTGGAGAGCAGCCAAGCTAGGGCAATCTTTTGTGTCTAACCTATACAATTATACCAACAGTGCTTATGGAGGAAATGAGAGTTTCAGTCGTCTGGTGTGGATCAAGTTTCTTCCTCCTAAGGTCTAGTTCTTTGGTTGGCTTGCATGGAAGCACAAGATCAAAACTTTTGTTTTCTTGCAGCGGATTGGAGTCTTGGATAGTTCTGTTTCTACATTGTGCGTATTTTGTAAATCATAGCAGGAATCTTTGGAGCATGTTCTCATGCTCTGCCTATTTGTTTGAAGAGTATGGTCAGGTCTTCTGCAGTGGTGAGGTGTCTTTTGGGTTGTTCCTGACTCTGTCATTGGTCTGTTGCAATGGTGGTCAGGGTACCCTTGGAGGAAAGCTGAGCTGCGGATTTGGCGTGCCATACCTCTAGTAACACTCTGGTCAATCTGGAAGCATAGGAATGATTGTTCCTTTCATCAAAATATGCAGCAGCTGCAAGAGCTGATTCTCACTATGCTTGCTTTCTGGCTTAAGGCTGCTTCAAAGGAGCTTTACTTTTCGATTTCAGATTTCCTTTACAATATCTCAGGGGTGAGGCAAGGATTGTTATAGTTTGGTGAGGCCAGGTTCGTTAGCTCAAGCTGTGCAGACTACTTTGCACCTCTGTTTTTAGCTGTCTGCATTGCTCCTCTACATTGCACCTTTGTTCTTCTTCCTTCAGTTTGTTTGCTATTTTCTTAGCTGTCTGATTGGTTTCTCACCAATCTTGTTTTTTTCGTGCTCTACTGATGTATTTTTGCATGTTCTCTGCTAAATTCATCAATAAAGCTTTATGTGCTGTTCAAAAAGAGAGAGAGAGAGAGAGAGAGAGAGAGATTAAAACATACATTATATACAACCAGATGCATGAGCGTGCCCCACAATGTGGTGCTTGTAGACATGCCCAGATGCTTTCTCCGTCGAGATGGGAAAATTATTTGGTAATTTGAAAATATTCAGTGTTCATATTTTTTTATTAATTATTATTTATTATATATTTTAATTATTTAATATAAAATTATAATATTTAATTTTTTTCAATTATACTTAATAATCACTCGTCAAAGTGACTTAATCATTGAATCAATTAATTTCTTATCTAAAATTTAATAATATATTTATACATTAAATTGTGGAATGCTCCAATTTCTTATAAGTTGAGAAAATTAAAAATCTTAAACCACTACTAAACTAAGATGTCAGGCCATCTCTAATTGTCAAATTAGATTGAGTGTAATTATAAGAATATTGTGTAAAGATTAGTTGCTTTTGTCTATTTAATATAGTAAAAATATTAATTAGTTGGAATTAAATTTATAGAATTATATAAAAACATAACTTTGTTATTTTTATAAAATAAAATAACTTTAGCCATGTAAAATCATGGAATTGGATTTGTGAATCCCATTCCTCCTCATGAAAATACTAATCATACCATTTGAAAAGATTCAAAATTCCATGAGACTCAAAATCTCATGTCACACTATATAACTAAAATTTAGGGATAAAATTATTTTTTAGGAACTAAATATTTTCGTTATGAAAAGTGTCGTTATTATAATTTTAGCAACGAAAATTAGACATTAAAGATGAATTATTATCTTTTTAGGACCAAATTTTGTCTCAAAAAATAAACTTTTTTTAGACCAAATTATTTTGTCTTTAAAAATGTAATCATTAGTGACTTTTAAAATTTTGTCACTCAAAACCTTATTTTTTACTTTTTAGATGACCTTTTAACGATTATTCTCGTGACAATAAAAATTGGTCAACAAATGTGTTTTTTAACAAAATTTTCACTTTTAAAGATAAAATTTTTTGGATATGTTTGGTTTGGCTTGATAGAGTGATTTTGGAAAAAAAAATCTAAAAAACTTGTTCGGTTTGTAATTTTTCCAAAATAATTTCTAAAATTACTTTCTCTTTCTTACACATCAATCAATCACTTTTTTTTCTTCTCTCATTCTCAATCAGTTTTTCTCTCACACACATCTACTCAATTACAACAAAATATCAAATCACTCCAAACTCCCAAACTCCAAAACTACTTTTAAAATACACAACTAAGCAAACCAAAAAAAAAAAAAAATTCTAAACTCTCTCCCCAAAATAATTTTTAAAAACTATTATCTCAAAATCAAACCAAACATCACTTTTAAATTTTAAAACTCTTATTTGTTTTGTTATAACCAAACATAATATGAATCATGACACAAAATAGCAATTCAATTTCTCTTCCCAACCCCGCAATCAAACATGGTCTCAGTGTCAATTGAGAATATCTATATACTTTGCTCCTCTTCCTCCTGAGTGCCTGAACTGTTGGTACTTCGCAGGTAGGTTCCATCGGAGGGTTGTCTCTTGCTCTAATAAGAAGCACATGCTCACATGATTCAATGCCACGCATGCCATTTCCACTAATTGAAATCTCATTATCATGATCATGATCATGATCATCATGATGTCTTGATGTCTTTACTTTAGTTGTGGTGGTGGTGAGTGTGTGATAGGATTGGTGTCAGTTTGAACTTTGTTTCAGTGTCAATGCTTGGCTTTTAGTTTATTTTAGTTGATTTTTAAAATTTTTATTAAAAAATTATAAAAAATAAGAAAATAATATAACAATTTATAGTAACCTTTTAATTTTTTAATTATAAATCTTAGGCCTCGTTTGGGAACAGGCTAATTTAGTAACTTTTTAGTTATTTGGCTAAAATATGAGCTAAAAAAACTAATATGTTTGGGATGACTTTTTGACTTTTTACGAAAAGATGTACAAAAAGTAAAGAGAAAAGAGAATCTTTGACTTTTTGGTATGAATTATTGGTTTTTTGACTAATTTAATAATTTTTTGACTTTTTAACTAAAATAGAGGGTTCCCAAATGAGGCCTTAGTCTTAAACGGAAATCACAAAGAAAATAGTTTTGCATTCACAATGGTTTATCCATATATCTTAAATATATTATACTATGATAAATGTATTGTTCAATTCACAACTCTTTCAGATAAATTCTGATAAAGATATGGCCATCCTTACTTATTCTTTTTTTTTTTTTTTAAGATTAATTCTAAAAAATGAAAATAACATAGGCCACAAGATTATGAGCTAATAACACTGTTCATTACAAGCAACCAATTTATTACAATTTTTTCTAAAACCTTCGCATGCCTACGATTACTTCTTAAGAGGATTACGTCCAATAGAAATTGTTTATGTGAGATTGTCCCTACCCCTGTAGGTCTAATTCTTCCACAGTGATATATTTGATTAAAATTTGCTCCATGTACGGGGCGTAATATCCTCTACTTTCCGTATTTTTTGGAACTCAAGCTTCGCGTGACGGCGTCCAACCTGACAAGACAGAGAACGATGAGCTACCCGGCGGTGGTGTGCTGGATAGACCCTCCGATGATCAAGTCAGATCACTTAAGGAAGAAGGAGGCTATTCGAGAGAGAGAGAGAGTGTTTCAGATAGCGCAAGTTGCTTACCCCCAACGTTCATCCTCCCTTCCTTTTTCTAGGCTGGCCATGCAGCCTCAGGATTGTGCGCGCACTACCACTGCTGTCCTTCCCTGGACAGTTGACTGCGCTCGCCTCCCACCACCTTACACGTGTAAAGGCCAAATCCTCCGTCCAGTACATGCAAGACTGCCAAACGGTACTGACGCGTGCCTGGAGCAGATATCCTCTCCTTCATGCCATTGGCCCAAGTGACACACCCGACCGGCATACCAAGACCGGCCTATTCCTTGGGAGAAAATCACAACCACAAAGAACACGACCGATCTGCCGAACTATCGGGCGCACGCCGACCTCTTCCTGACCTAGACTCTTTCTAGACCATCATCTGCTCGGTCGCGCCGTACTAACGCGCGCCTACCGCCGAACGCCTAACAGCTACAGCTCGGCCAGGCCTTAGAGCATGCCTGGTCGGCAAACCTAGCTCGACCGTGTAAAACAGGCCGGAGGGCCGTGCCGATTGAGGAGATAGCTCGGCACCGAAAGGCTTGCCACACCTGCGTTATCGTAGCTCGGCTGTACTGTCTGGTGCAAATCTCCCCTCTCAATTGCCCCTTAATCCCATTCGAGTTAATCGTGATTGGGGTTACCACCATGACCGAGCTAACGGTTCCTGAGCTGTGCCAGTACCAAGCCAAGCGTGATTAGTTTGGAAGCCGTTATCGAGCTATCCCATTTGGTCGGTCACTGCTTCAGCGGTCTCGTCGAGGGCCGTATAACCGTACTGACAACCGTCCTTTCGATGCCACGTGGCTTCATCCCATTGGCCCTGTGTGGCCTCAAAGCTATCTTTTCAACCGCGAAATTCAAACGGCGCAGCCGTTTAGTTTTTCCCACTTCCTTAAACACTTACACGAAGGGTCACTTCTCCCTTACTATTCATCTTCTCCTTGAGCCAAAACCCTAACTCTAAAAACTCCATTTCCTTCACCGCCGTCGCTACCTCTTGCTTCACCCATCGTTTCTGTTACTTCTAAAGCTGCCTACAGGCTTGTGGAGTCGGACCCCGCTCGTCATCAGGTTGCGGTGAGTTTTCCCACTCCCCCATTGTGTTTTCAAGTTCCATTTTCCAGTTCTTCAGACCTGTTTTTCATTTTTGTGCTATTGTTCTTCATGTTCTTTGCTTGGGACTATCGACGTTCCCTCTTATGCGGCCCTCGTGCCCTTGGTTCGAACGAACGAACGAGCCCCATTTCTGGGATGAACAGTTTGAATCTGGGTAGAACCGAGCTAAATGCTCATTTAGATCCGTAAGTGGAGCTTCAACTGAGCAAAAATTGGTTTGTGGCTTCTTCTCGGGGCCTTGACCGAGCTGAATAGTTAATTAGATCGCTAAATATGACTGAACCGAGCCAAAACTTGTCCGAGTCTTCTTCTTAGGCCTTGACCGAGCCAAGAATAGAGTAAGAACCAAACCATGAAGGCTGAATTAGCCGCGCAGCCGAGCCGCGATAGGGGTCAGACCGGCCAAACTCCCAAAAAACCATTCCCCGAGCTAAGAGTTCCAATATCAGCCGTGCAATTAATGTCGTGCTAACCCTTGGGCTTATTGTTTTATTTTTATTTTTTTTAACAATGCAGAATAAACTATGACCGATCAGGCCAGTCCAGAACCCTCACTGGTGGAGCTCAAAGTCTGAGCAAATACACCAGAATTTTCCACCGAGATACAAATTAAACCACTAAATAAGTAAAACTGAGGTAGATGGGGAAGTACCGGTTCATGGTGAGCTCGCCAGGTGCATTAGCTGAGTTTCGTAGGGAGTATAACATTCCAGACGATGTCCATTTAGAGCTGGCCAAGAAGGGAGATACCCCATGGGGTGACCTAGATCGGTGCCGCTTCACGGTTGTATCCATCGTGTAAGGAGGGCTTCGCTTCTCGGTCCAACCCTTGATCTGCGAATTTTTGAGGCAGACAAGGCTTTGTCCGACCCAAGTCTCGAACAACACGTACAAGATAATAAACGGTGTGGCCGAGCTGAATAGGAGGCTCGGTCTCAATCTCGGTCTCGCCGAGATATTACATCAATACAGCCTTAGCAAAAATAA